AGTCTTCACTTTAGAACATAAATTCAGAGCATCTGTTTTCCAAAACTATCATTAGAGTTATTTAAAGAAATTCTAGGAGGAAGATTACCATAAACTAGTCCGCGGTGTCTAGTGTGAGCCTGGGACTGGAATATTTTCTCAGAGACAAGTTCAGTTAAATTTGCAATATCAAAGAGGTTGGCCCACGAAGCATTGATTCAAGATACTCGACCAAATCAATATCTCACTTGTGGCGAGATCGATTCTCATGAAAACCTCATCAAGTTTAAAAGTACGATCTGTTACATACTTATTTCAATAACTATTCTCTGGCCTCAGCTGGCCACCAATTATACGCCCATGACGATATCAATACTCGCTGTAGTACGAAAATTTTGGCGCATAAGTTTAGGGGGCAGTTCTTTGGAATGGACGTGAGAGAAGTCGGCACCAGCTTACAGGATATTGCAAAGGAAGGGTACAATCTCTATGTACGGGGGACTTGGAATTTTGGCAATTTTTTACAAATTGAAGAGCATTGTGGGCGTCAAGCCTTCGACTGCGAGAGTGCAGCTGACACTATAAAAACAAGCTAACGATGGAAGGTGTTGTGATCCGCCTCCTGGTGGTGTTCACTGGTATAGTCTGAGTAGCCTGGGCACCTACTCCACTTGGGAAGGAGACATCTCAGATCACATTTCGCGCGGAGAAATGTGAACGGATGATGGAGGCATGTCTGGATAACCTAGGGGTCTTAAGACGTTCCCCTGGTTGTGTATTCACGGATGAGGGTTGACTTGGGGTGAAGAAAAAGCCGCCATAACTACGCAGTGGTACTTGCAAATGAAATCCGAGGCATGAGTGCTCTTCTTGTATATTGAGTTATCATTTCTGTACCTTTTCCTTGATATTGTGTCACAGCTAGATAGCTGAATACGCGATTAAAATCTGATGCACAAAATAGTGTCATATTCGTATTACTCTGTTTCAATTGTGATCGATCAGAACGCACTTTCCATCTATTTCGCCATCTAAACAGACACAGATACACAGCCTATCAAACATGGATGAAAAGTTGAGGTATTTCTATTTGTTAAACTTGGTTTTCTGTGTTTTCTTAATTGTTGAATTTTAGGGCAAGACCTACAGTGTTAATCGGAAAGTATAGGAGATAAAGAACCTATAAGATTTATTTATTGGTTGGCCGGCAAAGACGAATTCCTCACCTTCCAGTGGTGCCGGTGTAAGTGCTCAGAATGCTCTGCATATCTGGCATAGCCAAGGAGAATCGTAAGCAAATCGAAGTCGAACGCAAACACATGCATGTCTCCATTCGACGACTTCTCAATCATGCAGCACTCACCATTATCTTCTGAGTCCTCAACCTCTTTCTAACCACACATCATCTCGCCTCGACGACCGATAAAGGCGTCAGCCCAATTGCAAACAGGAGCTTGCCTCATACGTTACCGGCCATCACTCACTACATATTTACGACCCTACGTATACCCGCAAGGAGGAAATTAAGCCATAATATACAAAGTTGGGGTCTTGGTTTATGGGGGACTGATGCTCTAATGGGGCTGTACGTCTTGAGGAAGGATAGGCGGCTGAGAAGTGGAACGAGAGGGAAATCAGGTCTCTGAAGAGCATGCTGGAACTGACATTTTCTAGAAGTTCTCAACTTTGAAATTTTTGTGGGCGCCAAGACCGAGATTTCAGCTGATAGGCGTGGAAGGCTTCTTCTATCAATGAGTCAACGGCACTCCCCAGCGCCCTGGACGGTACAAAAGAAGTCAGGCTAAGCTATCACACAGCAATCACGCTCTTTCAAGACTTTTCTGACATATCAGCACAACCTTCGGGAAGGAGTGGGAAGGAGGCTAGAAAGGCAGAGGGTGAATTTCCCGAGGTACCCACAAGTCTGCAGCGGCCAGCTGGCCAGCCTCTTTGAACGCATCAGAAGGGTCACTATGTCCTCGGATCTAGGCTTAATGTCGGTATTGGAAGTGTCCCGTACCCAGTGGCTTTTGCGATTTTCCCCGGCTGCCATACACCCGCAAATGGCCATCGTTTCGTTGGCTGGAGAGGGGAGATAATGAAGGGCAAAGAGCTCCTCTGAGTGTATGATCAAACAAGAACTTGTGAGGGGTAGTACTGTTTGAGGGGAGCTGTATGAGAGGCATAGGAGGGAATATACTACTGGTAGAGGTATCCTTAGCCCGTAGGCAGAGAGGACCTGCATGTCCTACATAGTCATAGACTCAGACAGGACAATAAAATGAATATAAAAAAATGGTTATAAGCATTTCAGCAGCTTATAGCAGTCATTTGTAGTCTTAGACTCGTCAGGGACTTTAATTGAATTCTATTCTATTCTACTTATTGTTAGATATTTTTAGGTTTGGTCATTATTCCTCAGCAAAGTTTACGTATTTTAAGAATCTTTATAATCAGCTGACTGCGCATTGAAAACTGTTGTGATATACAATATAGATGGGCGTGTGTAAGCAATGAGATATTACGTGAACTAAACCAAGTGTGGCTAGCAAGGCACGTTGAGGGATTAGCCGAGGCTCGTGCGTATGGTATTAGGAACACTTCTTTTGTAGAGATAGATAGGGCCGCTTAATCCCTATTATATACACATATATGTACATATAGATTCTAATTAATTTAATTTCCACACCTTGCTCTACCCTCAGCTCCGCAGACTATTAAGCTCTAAACTCCAAGACGTCGTACATAACCTCATAACCATAACAAAAGCGCATCTTACAGTAGCGAGGAGACTTGGCAATGCCATAGTCAAGAATTTCTGCCTAGATTGCTGGAGTTGAACTATTTTGGTTTTATCAACCAAAGAATAATGATACGAGTATTGAAACCCATATGAGTGAAGAGCTCTAGACCAGACGGAACTGAATGTCTTGAGAGTGATTTTGCTTAGCTGTAAAAACTCTATTCTAAAATCTATCCTTCTCTCTCGTAGGCTCCATAAGAGGCGATCGGACTCGCCTTCGTTGGAAACAAAGAGTTGACGTGATTTATAGCTTTAGATCATTGTCTCGTAGGCCAACTTTTTCGATATTGCCAAATTAGACTGAGCTCTGCTGTGGAATAATACTTTAATCCCAGCGTCGGGGTGGACAACGTTGACGGCTTTTCAGTCTTCGTATTTGTCTTAGAGCCTTGAACAATCATCCGAATTATTACTGATATGAATGAGTCAGACTGAGATGGCCTGAAGCTCGAGATAATCAATCATGATGATAATGCGTGAGTCACGGAGGGTAGAGGACTGTGCCATGCCGTGAGAGGTACTGCGGCATAGCTTGGTTGAACGCACTAAAAACTGCCGGCAGTCTAGACTGGAGCTATACTGGACGAAAATCGAACTGAACTCCATTTACCTGGAGGGTACTGGTAAGTATTTGAGACAGAATTGTCTAGTCATACATGTCAGAGGGCCACTAATAATGGTGAAAAATCGTAGTGCGGCTATTCCAAGGGCACCAAAGGCAGAGCGGAATATGAGGCCGTCTGCCAAAAATGCACGCGAGAATGTGGGTCCAGTGACCCTAGGCAAATCAAGTAAAGTGTCGTCACCGGCTGTTTAGAGTGCGAGGATACACCCATTTCGCCGGAACCATGATCCTCAATGACACCCGCATCCCCTTGTGGTATGCTTGCTTCGACGGCCGATCAATCACAAATGAGCCTCGTCCTTCCGTCATCTGCGAGGAGGGAGCGGCCGATCTAGGGATTCTCTCACGCAGCGTATGAAATGGGCAGACCCCTACGCAGAACCGGGCTGAGACGATCTAGACATGACATCAGCCTTGCGAGAACACTGCGCGACGTGACGCATCAGGGAGCAGATCATCGACGAGGGATCGCTTACCACTCTGTCGGATCTACGATACAATACACCCCGAGGGGCACGTCAACAAGGGCCTTTCCATACCTCAATAATGCCATCTACTAGGAGGTATGAGGTTTGGCAGTCTTCTGTCCACAGGATTAGTGCAGTGTGAGCATAGAGTCAGCTGATACTTTTTCCATACACCTGCCGAACATGATAATCTATGACAAAATTCGGTGGAGAGTTGTGGCACTTAAACTCTGCATATACCATGCAACTGCACGCTCAGTAACACTTCCCAGCTACTCGAAAACAGAGCCCGAGTTGGTTTGTCACCCAAAGACTGGGTATTGATCCGTAAAATCTGTTAGTTATTTCTCCCTTCCCACGATCTCAGGGTGGAAGCAGAATAGACCTTCGCGCTCTGCTGGGTCCAAGTATCTGCTTGTTATCAGAACCCTCTTTTCACTCTTCAGCTGTCTAGCTTTAAAGGAAAAAAGCTATCACGTTTTGTTGGAGCAAAAGCCTCGGCTTTGAGGTTTCAACAAACCATTCATTTACTCAAGGGATCAGAATCAGTCAATCCGCACTCTTTTGCAGATTACTAGCCTTATTTAAAACTTTATTTATATTCAAGTTTCTATGGCATTGATTCGATGCCCATAATAATCCATAGGAATTTAAAGTTCCTGTACAAGCCAAATTATTATGATTCATAAAGGGAATCCCAATATTACTTTTTAGTCATCCACCCCTTGTCATCATCCAATCGACCTCTTAAAAAGCCTTCACCATGATCTAGATTTCTAATCAACTTGATCAACACTGATTTTTTGATAGTAAATTCTCATAAAATTTACAGTTCGAATCAAATCAACTCTGAAGCGGCCTGCCGTGGTGAAACCCTAAGATTTCATAGAATCGAAATATTTACAGCTTACTTGAGCTGAATTGTATGGAGCTAAAAGTATTAAAGTTCTCCTAAAACTCGTGTTAATTTTTGTGCGAGGCCAAGATGTTGAATGCAGCCATACATGAGTGGACCTTGCCTTAATTTTTCGATAAATCATATTTAGATGAGATCACTCTGGAATATAAATAATTTTTAAAAATTATTCCAGTTGGATCTGCCACAATTAGATCAATCACTGCGTATTTACTCAATTATAATTCCGATGTGTCGCTCGTCTTCTGGTTTCCAAGTACCTGAATCTGTTAGTCGAGTAAATCATTGGCAAAAGTTCCCTTCATGTACCTTCAAATCCGTGTTTTACGAGTGCACTTGAATCATCATATTCACCAGCACCCATTTGATGAATTCCAGGGCTAAAGCTTGTAATGGGTAGAACAACAACGTCTCCTATTATTTTCGGGGTGGTGATGCCGGTAAATTCTTTCCAGGTAATTGGTCCATTGCTAGTGCTCATATCAAAGTAGCGCCCATCATTCATAAAACCGAAGACTACGTCAGTCCAAAGCCCTGGGCCAGTGAATTCAATGATACTTCGACTGCTAAAGTTTGAAAGCAAGCCATCCTTCAATTTCTGCAGTGTTGTTAAGGTTATATTTGCCACAACTTCACGAAGTATTGGGTGTCCTGGTTTTGACTGTAGCGTCCATTGGCAGAATTGGATTCGGCGAGAATACCATAAAGCCCAATCCTCCCTATCCGGATCAGCCTCGATTCCAAATATAAGGCCAATAGACTTTTTTGGGACAGATTCTGGCAGCCATTCAACGGCGCTTTTGAGGGCCTGAGTATCGATATCCGAGTAGATCCCACCCCGTGCTAGGAGGATAAGATAGCGGAAAAAATCTGCCTTAAGTATTGGAATAGGTAAAGCGTTGTAGGCCGTTATAATCTCTGGAACACTGGCGTAGAGATGGCGGATCAGATGGACAGCAACTTGATCTGTGATGACTTCATGAACAAAAGTAGGATGTTTATCACTCCATGAAGCCTCAGAAGCCCGGAATTTCTCGTCAAAATCTCCCGATGCAGGTGTAAATTTCCAGGTTTGCCATATGTAGGCAGGAAAACTAGCCTCAACATCGTAGGGAAATTGATATGCAAGTTTTTCTCTGAGGGGCGCCTGTGACATATCGATTAAAAGCTTCTGAGAGCCAGCTGCTTTACTGCCATCGATAGATGTCGGGGTCGGGAGGGTGGTAATATTAATTGAATCATTCGGGTCGGCTTCGGTGTTTCGGCTTTCAGATGATGGCCGGGGTACTAACGGGTGAGTATGTGTGGTAAAGTAAAGTACAGTGAGAACTAGAGCAGCACCAACGAATGCCTGGCGGAACGAAAGCATGTTGTAGCAGCTGGAATGCCTTTTCTAGAGTTGAATCAAAAAGATCAATTGGGGAGGTGAATTATCTATGTAAATACACCCGATTGTACCCACGGGGGAAGGGGATGGCCGGTTGGATTGCAAACATGTATCGTTATCCAGGATGGCAGTTCAGAGCGTGAGGACCCGCACACGCCCTATGATGTATGCAGCGTCACCTAAAACTTGCTTACATGACGGCTAGGCGATTTTGCCATAAGCTAGTCAAAGCTCACTCAACGATATGTGGCCTGACTTTGAAGGCACAGCAGTCCCTCCCGGGATACCACGCACTCACCTTTTTCACCACAACCCTATTAGAGTGAGCTGGATCTGATTGCAGTGTTGAACCCCAGTGACGACATTTGAGGATGGTAATGCAGGGAGATCGCCATTGACCACTGCGAAACGGTGCTAATTTCCCACTTGCATGCATTCTCATCCATTATACATAAATAGCGCTTCGCTAAGTGTCCCAACCATAGACTCAGTACTTGGCCAGCCTGTCCCTTCCCATGCTTATGGAATATCAACTAAATACGACATTTCTATCATCCGCACTTCCGAGGAAAATCTCACCACCAAAATCGCACAAGGAGAAGTGGCGCAAGCGAGGTTTTGTCCATTACCAGGATTACAAATAGTGCTACGGGACTCATTCTGTTGCCACCATTGAAAATTTTGTTGTTGCTTTGCGCTGACGATGAGCCCTCTAGGTATAATTCCAAACCCTCCATATAGCTTTTCCCGGGTGATCGAGACGGAAAGCTGATATTGCTATTCTCTATGAACCTGAGTGTTAAATATTTCTCAGAGCAGAGATCCAGTCACAACAAAGTGTTAATTAAAGCGTCTGTCAAAATGGCCATCTTGAAGAGCGGCGTTGGCAAGTATATACTAGAATCTTCGACCTGCAGAAATTCAAAATCTGCGCAAATGAAAATTTCTATAATCCTCACTTCGGGTATAAGCCGTCAACGGGCTCAAACTTTTTTGCTATTTACGCTTAAAAATAAAAGACACCGTCTAACGAATTCGTTTTCCCTGAAATCCTTTCCAGCTGTGCTCATAACGCCATCCCCTTCTACAATTTTCTCACCACCTGCTGAAGCTTTTCAGGATATATATGAGTGAAAAACATCAAGGTGTGAGAAGAAGTCCGACCTTCCACAACTACTTGCTGTAAAGTTACAGTTGAAACACCACTCTAGTCACATCAATAGTGAGCCCAAGTCACTGATAACTCGATCTGCCACAAATCCTCAGTGAAACGAAAGGAATGATATCTTGACAGTGCATTAAATAGACTGTTCGATAGAGGCCAAGGCTTCGGTGCCTCCACATTGTGCTTCTGCTCATATAATCCGCCTCTACAGCTAGGGGTATGGTAGTCACAGATTATGGCCAAATAGGCGACCAAGCATCCAGGGTCCGAAACTTGGCTTATTGTTCAAGGAGGTGTTACAGTTGGGGATCAAATGAGAGAGAAAAACAGAATAACTTGGTGAGTGACATACGGAGGTCTTTGACGAAGAAACAAACCCTTTGATGAGATAGAGAAATGATCATATTGGAAGGAAGATGAATATTAAAGGATCCTAGGGCTCTGGTGCGTCGTGCTCAAGTCTGAGGAAGAATCTGTGCTTTATTGTATGAAAATTGGTTGCTCTAGACAGTCAGAACTGGTATGATTTAACATACAGGAAAAGTATAAGGCAATACGGCCCATCAAGTGAGACGGGTTTCATGTACATAATTGGTAGTCAACCTGATCAAGCGCGGCCCCGCTCGTGCTCGAGCTACTAAAGGGGAGCGAACGGTGCTAATTGCCTAGTATGTTAATAAACAAACATGGCACGACCCTGGACAGTAACTTGCATTCAACCGTTGAGTCAACTCTCGTTCAATCTGAATGTGAAGCGAGGAACGTCGTGCAATGTTTGACACTGACTCGGTAGACTATAGATCGATCTAGACGCAGCGCTAGAGGTCCTCAGAACTTCCACTTTCAAGTTCATTTGGTCTCTGCTGGAAGAGCAAAAGTAGACTTTACGACTTACCAACGCGGCTACAAATATGAGACCGTCTGATCCATATAAATGCTGCAACGAGAGGTCTGTGGGAATTCTAGTGACTGTCATGAAGTATAGGCTACGTGGCGACTCACGGGCGGGCAGAAGAAAGTTGTGGACCTAAAAGATTGCTAGGGCCAAAATAGTGGCAACTGTCTGCATCTTAGGCAGCGCAGAGGACCTTTTAGAGTCTCGTGGAAATATCTTGAGAAAGCCTAGGGAACTGTGCATGAAGAATCTTGATCAAGCAAGGAGTTCAATGAGACGAGGAATCATGACTTCTACTGCGAACAGTAGACGCCCAAGTTTAAATGTAGACGGCGGGAGCAGCCAAACTCAGAGCTGCGAGACAAATCCTTTTACTTTCATTATCTGGGCTATTGGGACTTTTTTCCTTCATCGTAGACCAGGTAGGGATATAAGATAATTGTTCTCTAATTATAGGCTAGTGGAATGGTTACTTCTCAACACTTGGTCTCCAGGATTATTGTTTGTGGATCGAGTTATTTTTTAATAAATTTTTTTTTCTTAGTCCAAGCCTATGTAGCACGTGCAGATTCTTTCTGCCTACAGGCCAAGGAAATTTGTCTAGTAGTATATTCCCTCTCGGACCTCCCACACAGCTCCCCTCCAGCAGCTAGCCCGATCTAGCCTCGCCACGGGCATGGCATATGCGCAGGAGGGCAGACACGCTGGATACCTGATCCAAACAATCACCTACTGGAGAATAGGCCGTGATATGAATACCAAAAAGGTTGCCACTGCTGCAGGGTAAAGACCAACACCTGTCCGCGGTGTCCTCTACTAACCCGAGAGTGGAATAATCTCCCTGAGCCAAGTTCAGTCATATTTGGCAATACCAAAGTAGTTGGCCCACGAAGCAATGATTCAAAATATTACATCATGCCAATTTTTCACTTCCAACGAGATCGATTCCTACTGAAACCTCGTCAAATCTCCAGGTACGACAAAGTACATCCTCATTTCAATCACCACATCTCCCATCAGTAATTCCCAGACCTCAGCCGCTCACCAAATATAAGCCCTTGCCAATATTTATACCCGATGAAGGAAACACTGTGGCGCATGAATCTTGGCCGCAATTCTTTGGGATGGACTGGGGAGAAATATGGACAAGCCGACCAGATAATTCAAACGTTTCATACCATTTCGAAAGGAATGAGACTTTGAAATTTGGCAAGGAGATTCACAGATTGAAGGGCATTGTGCGCACCAATACCTCGAATGCGAGAGTGCAGGCGACACTATGACGACCGCCATGGTTTTACGGTGCCGTGGTACATCATCTAGGCCGATATCCTTGGTAGGCTCTGGATAGCTTGGACATATATCTTACTTGAGACAGGAGATCTCTGGTTCCAATCCGGCAAAACACAACTACATTTCTCGCGGCGCTGGTATACATGGACGACGAAGGCATGCTTGGATAATCAAAGGTTTTGAAAAGTCCCTTTAGCGGGTATTCACAGACAAAGGTCGACTGTTGGCATAAGAAAGCAGATCTCACAGTGGTATCTACGATTGAAATCTAAGAGTACAAGTGACTCTAGCGGTAGTAGTCATCCAAAGTGTCTACATAGCACTGATCATATGTCATCACTAGATAGCAGAAAGCACGATAAGTGATAAATAAAAAAAAACAAATATCTCACAGTGGTATTGCAAATAATAACCAGAGTATGAGGGTCATTTAAGTCAAATTTTTACCCGACTTGTGTATAAATCACTGATCATGCATCATTACCGGAAAGCTGAAAATACATTAATGAAGTAAAAGCCAAGACTACGATTGCGAGAGCGTATGCGACATTATGAACATGGTCATAGCTCGATAGTGTTGTGGTACCTCATCTGGGATAGTATGACAAAGAATGACTGCCTCCGCCAACCCTGCAGGTGGTGCACTTTAGATCAAAAATCCCCCACATTCTCACCCACCACAACGTTTTGGATTACTCAGCATCTCTTCAACAACCCTGCCAATTTTTTTATCTTCATTGGTTGTCCACACTTAGTCGCCCGCAAGATGTCTTCCGCGCCATTTCCAAGCAGTCTATCTCAAATGCTGCCGGCAAAGACGAATTCCTCACCTTCCAGTAGTGCCGGTATAAGCGCTCAGAATGCTCTGCATATCTGGCATAGCCAAGGATAATCTTAAGCAAATCGAAGTCGAACGCAAACACATGCATGTCTCCATTCGACGACTTCTCAATCATGCAGCACTCACCATTATCTTCTGAGTCCTCAACCTCTTTCTAACCACACATCATCTCGCCTCGACGACCGATAAAGGCGTCAGCCCAATTGCAAACAGGAGCTTGCCTCATACGTTACCGGCCATCACTCACTACATATTTACGACCCTACGTATACCCGCAAGGAGGAAATTAAGCCATAATATACAAAGTTGGGGTCTTGGTTTATGGGGGACTGATGCTCTAATGGGGCTGTACGTCTTGAGGAAGGATAGGCGGCTGAGAAGTGGAACGAGAGGGAAATCAGGTCTCTGAAGAGCATGCTGGAACTGACATTTTCGAGAAGTTCTCAACTTTGAAATTTTTGTGGGCGCCAAGACCGAGATTTCAGCTGATAGGCGTGAAAGGCTTCTTCTATCAATGAGTCAACGGCACTCCCCAGCGCCCTGGACGTTACAAAAGAAGTCAGGCTAAGCTATCACACAGCAATCACGCTCTTTCAAGACTTTTCTGACATATCAGCACAACCTTCGGGAAGGAGTGGGAAGGAGGCTAGAAAGGCAGAGGGTGAATTTCCCGAGGTACCCACAAGTCTGCAGCGGCCAGCTGGCCAGCCTCTTTGAACGCATCAGAAGGGTCACTATGTCCTCGGATCTAGGCTTAATGTCGGTATTGGAAGTGTCCCGTACCCAGT